ACCCTCTGGGTTCGTCCATTTAACCAATTACAGATCCACCTCACCATAGTTTTGCCTAGCCCACATTGGACTTGTTTCCTTGCCAGAAGGTCATGGAGGACCTTGTCGAAGGCCTTACTGAAATCCAGGTATGCTCCATCCACGTCATTTCCCGCACCTACCCAGCTTGTAACTCTATCGAAAAAGAGATCAGATGAGTCTGGCATGACTTGTTTTTCATAAATCCATGTTGACTATTAGCAATGACCGCATTTGTTTCTAAGTGTTTGCAGACCATTTCCTTAACAATCTTTTCCAGAATCTTGCCCGATATAGACGTGAGGCTGACCGGACGGTAGTTGTTTGGGTCATCCTTTTTTCCCTTCTTGAAGATTGGGACCACATTGGCCCTCCTCCAATCTGCTGGAACTTCTCCCGTTCTCCAAGAACTCTCAAAGATGGTTGCCAATGGTTCCGAAATGACTTCCGCTAGTTCCTTCAATACTCTGGGGTGTAGTTGATCTGGCCCTGGGGACTTGAACTCATTAAGAGCGGCCAGGTATTCCTGGACGACTTCTTTCCCAATTTGGGGTTGGATGTCCTCCAACCCCAATCTCTTCTCATCTATCTCTTGACTGATCTCTTCTCATCTATCTCTTGGCTCATTATCTATTTTCTCTCTTGGCTTGTCATCTATTTGCTCATTAATTTCTGCAGGTGCATCCCCACACCCCTCATGGACATTATCATGGGAAACATGGGATCTCCTGGTCATTCTCTGCATCAATATCACTGCTATCTTGAAACTCATCTTGAACCTCATTAACACCATTCCCTATATCCAAAGCACCCTGATCCTGAAACACAATCACAGGCTGAACTCCAACAAGTACTTTATGTTGAGTTATACCTGCAATCTCCTGCAAAGAATCGTTGCCTTGTCGTGGTGCTGGAGCTTGAGCACCTCGATGATGCCATGAGTGAAACTGTGAAGGGATACCAAAGACAGAAAGGTCATGGCAGAGAGATCAGACCAAATACGATCCCTGAAGAAGGTAATGGCAATCCACCCCAGTATTCTTGCCATGAAAACTAAATGGGTCTGTACAACCAGAGATATGTCAATATACCATTGGAAGATGGGACTCCCTGTTGCATCCCAGATCAGGAAACGAGACCATAAGATTCAATCCACCACACTGGACTGTGAGAAAAACAATCCTTTTTTATTGATGAAAAATGGTTACAAAAGAAAAGTAAATGCAAAGTCAAAAAGCCACAGTAGAAACTCAGCAGTCAGGAAAAATCTTTGAACTTGAGCAAAATTCCAAAAACAACAATACAGACACCAGGAACCTGTTAGCATCACTAACCATACTTGAAAACTAGAAGCCTCTGGGAATGCAGGCCATGGAACGCAGGAAAACTGCCAAGGTGCTGCCTCAGTCTAAAACGTTGCTTGATCTAATGAGACAACCGGGGGGAGGCCCCTTAAACCAAAGAAACTATTTCTTGAAACGCCTCCAGACTTTGAAGCCTCCCTCTCCCGTAATCCATTTGACCTTCGTAGAAACCGTGATTCACTCCTGTTTTTCCAAATCTGTTCCCTTCGGTCCTCATTAAAAAACCCAGGTGTGATTCCCTCTGGAGAGCTATCACGGCCTGATTCCAAAACATTCTCATCAGGCTGTTCAGTTTCACTTTCCCCGCCACTGACTTCAGCATCAAGGGTTTCAACACTATCAGGGAAAGATACATGTTCAGTGGCTTGCTCAGTTGCATCAGGAAATACACTCAGAGAATCAGGTTCACACAGAGATTGAGGCTCAGTTTCACACGGAGGTGGCTGAACCCCAACACTCCCAGGTTGGAAAGATGGTCAAAATGCTACTGGGGAGGAACAGAGGGTAAGTTCAACTAGCCCCAGATGTGGAGAAGATAATGATGCTGGGAAAAAAATGGAAGGAAAAAGGAAGAGGGGCAGACCAAGGACGAGATAGATGGATGGTATCTTTGAAGTGACTGCTTGACCTTGAAGGAGCTGGGGGTGGCCACAGCCGACAAGGAGCTCTGGTCCATGAGGTCACAAAGAGTCAGAAGCGACTGAATGAATAATAATAAAAAACACCTGCAATCCATCTTATACAAAGGCTAGCTTCTTCCAGGCAATCAACCTTTCCCAAAAATGGTAGCTAAAATCCTGCATTGCATTGGTAAATGTAATAGAAATAGCTAATGCTATGTCTATTCCTCTTTCCTTGAACATATTGGGGATTTTCCAAAAATGTTTCTAAACTGTGGATAAAGCATGCAAATGAATTTCCCTGAAAATAGCTAATAGACCATTGCTGAATTCTGTGTTTTGTATAAGATTCTGTGGTGTAGGGCAAAACTATACAAGAACCACACTAAATCAAAACTCAAAGTAAACGATGCTTATAGATACAAACTAAGTACAACAATTTTATTTCACTCCTAGATTCTTAGAGTTCCCAAACTATGTTGTAAGGGCAATAGAGGTTAACCGTTGCCCTCCAGCAATTGGCATTTATTAGCATATTTTAAAATTAAATATGGATAATTAATCTATGACTA